AGCACTAGGGATGGGTACCTTTGACATTTGAATCGATCCGGTACTAATTCCCGGTACCTACGAGTCGATACCGGTACTTAACGGTACCAATTTTCGATACTTTTGAGTGTTTATTATTTTAATTCTCTTTTATAATTAAATATATATTTTTCTCAATATATAACCATATTTGATAAATATCACGATAAATAACATACAAGTTTGTATTTTAACATCGTCCTTGTAGTTTTATAAGCTGATAGTTAAACTGAAGCAAACATCTTTACTGTGAACTAAATTTACTGTGTATCTTCATTCCTTTTGCCGTCCTTTTTCATTTGATTTTTCCAACTGGGAAGTTAGAATTTCCGAGGAGAAAGCGAACGCACCATTAGCTGATAACAATGGTGGCAATGGAAGCTAACATATCAAGCTAACGTTATCTTTAACAGTTTATTTAGCTGCTGGAGCAGATTAAAACGATGATGCCTCAAACTTAGATCGTTGTCACTGGTTTTACCTTCACCCAATCACCCGTCGCATTTAGTAAAGTAAAGCCAAACTTTAGAGCGCGTTCATGTTCTTCTAGTCGGAAATTCGGAGTTCCGAGGAGAAAGCGAACGCACCATTAGCGAAACGGAAGCTAACAAATCAAGGTAACGTTATCTTAAACATTTTATTTACCTACTGGAGCAGATTAAGATGAGGATGTCTCACTTAGATCGTTGTCTGTCGCTAGTTTCATCACCCAGTTACCCATCACATTTAGTGAAGTGGACCCAAGCTTTAGCGTGCGTTCTTTCTACCATGCTTGCTCTGTTTACAACGGGCTCGCAGGGACCGGCGACATAACGCTCTTGCGCATGCGCAACTGTCTTGGCAGTACCGAAACGAGGCACCGTTTGAAATGACGTGAATCGGTGTTCGGTCGGTTCTATGGAATTCGGTCGGTACCTTAAAAAGTACCGAATTCGGTACTCATCCCTAATTAACACCATGTGGATGTTGGAGATTCAGTGAGTCAATCAAACCCATTTTTCGTCACGTTTTGTGTCTTCAATGAGTTGACCATTTTATAGTTTATTAAAGGCGCAATAAGGTCAGCAGAGTCGCTTTTAGATTTCATTGCTGCTCTTCATTAGAATAAACTCTCTTTCCTTGCACTTTGACCACTGAGATGTTATTGCTCTCCTGGAGTCATTTGGCTCCATCACGCTCTGGTAATAAGAGTTGAGACTGGCAGCACAGCACTTTCCTACAATAGATGGTGCTGAGCAAGGATGTGGAAAATGAAGCTCCCACCCAGTTGATTTAAATGGAGAATCGTGATTAATTGGAATCGATGGTGTGGACTACGACACTCAACAATTCCCATCTACAGTGCTCCGTCTTGACCCATGCATAATGTGCTTATGTACAGTTTAGCACATAATTCAGAACTGTAGGCATACACTGACATATCCATAGTCACTATTCACTTCTTTATAACATGCTGTTACTGAATGACATGAACAAGTTATCACTGTCATACAAAGCTCTTGCTTGTTGCACACATTCAAAACTTGTCTCTAGTGTTCCTGAAGGGGTCCACCTTTTACATTGCTTTACATTGCATTGTTATCAATATCGAGCCTTTTAAGATGAATTCAAAATTGTCTGCATCACGGTGCATTTAAAAGTGTATTGTATCTCCTATTAAAGGCACAGGAAACTGATAACCTCGGCCCTGGAGATGAGAGGAGTCCTAAAGGTGTAAGACGGCTTGTAAGAATTTTACAGTGAAATAATCCCAAAGCAGTCTAATGCTCAGTCGTGTTGGAAGGAAGGTTACATTGAAACAGATTTCCTCCTCAGCCGGTTGGGAGGTGGCCCGTTTTTCTCCTTTCAAAAAAAATGCTTAAAGCCGGGTGGACACTGTGCGACTTTTTCACTCGTAGCGTTCAGCTTCAGCTCAAACTGTACGACTTCCTCGCAGAGCAGATCTCACGAGCCAGGCGCTCACACTGTACGACCCAGTTCTCGGATGCGACCTGACTGCTCACACTGTACGTCTGGTAGCAACACGTCGGCCCTAAAAGTATGCTAAAAAATAGCAGTTTTTACACAACACGTCAGACTTTTTTGTCTTGTTTTGCCTGTTGTCCTTCGGGAGTGCTGCAGGAGGACACACAGGGATTTATGGGGGTTGGATGAGGAAAACGAAATAAAGAAAGTAAATCTGTGTTTTGTGATCAGTTTAATTTGACATGAACACGACAAACACGCTTTCTTGACAATCTTTGTGAGTAAAAAAAACGTGTAGAAACAAAAACGAACAGCGTGTGTTATTAGGGAAATAGCGGGGAGCGGTGTTGATGCAGGATTGCGCATGCGCCGTGAGCGGTTCTGATACATTTTGGGTCGCAGCTGCTCGCAGCGCTGCTTCAACAGTGCGATACCCTCACGAGGGACGAGCAAAATATTAAACACGCCAGAAGTCCATGCGACCTCACAACTGCTGATCGGCAGCTGGGCACGTGGTGTTAATCGCCTCTCGTTACCCCCTGTACACTACACGACCGCTCGGCGCAAAACTCGCCCCGATGTCGTGGATTCTCGCACGACTGGAAAATCGGCTCAAAAAAGTGAAAAAGTCGCACAGTTTACGCCCGGCTTAAGAGGGATGTAGTTAATGTCTACGATTGGTGAGCCCGTGGGGTTGCCGAGTTGGCACTGCAGCACTGAGATTTGTTTTTTGACAACAGCCGGGCAGCAGTGTTTTGTAAAGACCCTAAATCAGTAACAGGAGCGACCCAGAAGTTATTTTTGTACCCCTAAGAACCCACTGCATCCTTTTAGGTTTACTCTAATATCGGGTAAAGAAGGCTAGAGGCTAACGTTGAGTTAACAAGGCTGCATTACAAACAAAAAGTGTGCTCTAAAAAATTATCTGGTTACTTGCTGAGCACTCGACTTCTGGAAGCAATGAGACCGCAGAAGTGGCCTTCTAATGATATCATTGCCACATTGTATCACTTGTAACAGCATCAAACAGTACAGTAGGTAGTAAATAGGCTGTGCTACAGCGTTGTTGTCCACTCCTTTGGCCGTTGTGCTTGTCCTACTTTTACTCCATCTGCTTCGCTCCCACCAGCCTTTTTACTGTGTTGCTATAGGCTACCTGGAAGAATGCCGACATTAAACGGCGCATGTCGCCACCTACTGTAGCGAAGTGAAACATGCTTCATTTCAGAGTTTGGTTTTCTGTAAACTAGGGTAAAAGCTCCCAGTTTATTTCTGAGCATCGACTTGTAAAAGCTGTGAAGAACTGCTAATTCAATTAGATTTGATAAAGACAACTTTTATAGACTATGTGAAAACATAAGTTTATCTCAGGGCTGCATGGTGGCACAGTGGTTAGCATTGTTACTTTGCAGCAAGAAGGTCCTGGGTTCGAATCCCAGACTGGGGTCTTTCTGCACGGTGTTTGCATGTTCTCCCTAAGCATAGGTTCTTTCCGGGTACTCCGGCTTCCCGCCACAGTCCAAAAACACCACTGTCAGTTTGTTTGATTTGTCATAATTGTCCTAAGGTGTGACTGAGTGTGTGTGTGTGTGTGTGTGTGTGTGTGTGTGTGTGTGTGTGTGTGTGTGTGTGTGTGTGTGTGTGTGTGTGTGTGTGTGTGTGTGTGTGTGTGTGTGTGTGTGTGTGTGTGTGTGTGTGTGTGTGTGTGCATGGTTGTTTGACACACACCCTGTGATGGACTGGTAACATGTTCTGTTACATGTAATTTTAAAAACATTAAAGACAACTATTTACAGGAAAACTTCATATTGTTATTTTATTAAGCTCCTACTCTCCTTTATTGATTAATTTATTCCCGGGTTAAACTGATATGTAACAGAATTTCATTTGGTGAAGAGCTTGAATGGCTGCAATCTAAATAATTTAGTTGATTCTCGCCTGGCACATTTATGCAGCAGGTGATTGGCAGCTCCGACACAAATATATCAGCGCTGGCATCAGCTAAGCCCATATTAGCTGAACTGTTGTGTTGAGATACACCCAGAGAAGCTATGCACGTCCACCAGGGCCGGCGGTGAGAGTGTGTAGCTGTTGGGCCGTTATCTAAAAGTGTGATTTACCCTGGAGCAGGGATTTAAAGGTTGCCTGGTGGAGGTGTGGACGCTAAATCATTACTCAGCAAGAGCTCATCATCACTCTCTGCTTAAAAAACAGTTTCAGGAGACAAACTTGCATTTGCAAACAAATGTTTATATTTTTGAAAGAGCCCACTTCCTTTAATGTTCTCACACACACACACACACACACACACACACACACACACACACACACACACACACACACACACACACACACACACACACACACACGTTGCCAAGGAGACAACCGCAGTCAGTCTGAAAACTTAAGAGGCTCTCCATAATAACAGCACAGCATGATATTCTCTTTATGCTAGATGGAAAGGCCTTTGTACTTTAAGAACATCTTTCTTCCACTTGGAGTATAAATCTTCATCCGTTCACTTGGGACACGTTGTACGTTCTTTCTGATTTACACGATTTCTTTTGATCGTTTCTGAAGTGGCTCGTGAGTGTTTGTTACAGACTGATAACTTCTAATGTTGGAAATAATAATAATTTTGTTGGGATGAAAGTTGGAATACGGCAGCACAAACAGCCCGTGGATTAGTGTTGTGTGTGTGTGCTGCTCTGTACGACTAATTACTATCCACCATCAAGGACAAGTGATCCAGCTACACAAGTGTATGTATGTGTGTGTGTGTGTGTGTGTGTGTGTGCGCGCGCACGTGTGTGTGTGTTTGAGGACTTATCCACAAAAAAGGTGGGAGTGCAGGGTTTCCCCCAGAAAATGAGTTAAGCCTGGCGGATCAGGCCCGCAGCGCTCCTCCGTGGGGGTGGGGGTGGGGTGGGGGTATTTAAAATGTGTAGTCTGAGCCGGGTGTTTTTCTAAAATATAAATGATTTTATGTTTTTTTTCTTTTGGGATTTTTTTTTCAGGGATTCCCAGGTTCACCAGCCAGCCATCGCCAGCCTCCGTGCATCTTGGGGACAGTCATGTGATGGCATGTGAGGTTAACACAGATCTGGTGCCTTTCACCCGCTGGGAGAAGGACCGACAGCAGCCAGAGCTGGGCGCCAGGTTGATCCAGCTGCCCAATGGGGCACTCGTTATCAGTAACGCCTCAGAGGCTGACGCCGGTCTTTATCGCTGTGCGGTAGAACCCGTGGGCTCCTCCAAGTTCAGCGAGGATGCCCAGCTCCAGACAGTACCAGGTAAGAATCTTGATATTTATCCTTTTAACATAAATATATTTTAAAGCCAAGAGAAAATTCTGAGAGAAACTGTAATCCTCCGAAGGATGATTTCAGATTTAGTGGACACTTTTACCTTATGTGATAGTAAACGCACTTATCTTGCTTCGTCTCTGTGTTTACTCGTTAATCAATTATTTCCACTGCCTAATTCAAGTTTTTAGACTGTTATTGATCCGTTCATGCAGCAGTGCTTCATTTAAATACAGTAGTTCATGAGGTTTCCTTGAGCCTCGCTCAGCATCAAGAGGCCTGCCTGACTGGGATGAAAAATGGTTCCATGCTAAAAGGAGCGGACCGATTCCCATTAGAGCTCTAAGTGATGCAACAGTAACTCAGCTGTAACACAAAGGAGGTGGGGTCCCATCCTGCCTCTAGAAGTTTTATTTAGAAAGTTGTTAAACGCCAGGCTCCAACCAGCACAGAGAAGATATTAGAGGCCATAACTCAGACTTCAACAAGACCCTCTGTGGGGTTCTTCATCCTCTGCATGCCTCCTCGGAGGATGTGTGTGTTGCACTGGTATGTGGGTCTAGAGCATACAGGAGGAAAACTCATAAATCTGTCTGAGGAAATTAAAAGAAAATGAGTTTGGAAGCAGATGAAAAGGCTACATAACAATATTTATTGCAACAAATGAGTCAGACATCAGCGCGACTTGGGTATTTCCAGCGAGACCTACTGAATGAGTTTCATTCATGTTTAAATCAAATCGTTGAGTTTTAAGTTTATCTACAAAAACAGACAATTAATAATTAAAATGACTCTTTAATGGAGGCCTTTTTATTTGCTGGATCATTCTGACCTACTGATTAATGCAAGATGATACTCAGGCGCTATTAATGACGCAGTTTGAACTCCCGCTGAGCCTGGAGCTGGGGTAGATGATATTCGTCTGATCGGTCCTGGTTTAGCTCTCAGTAGACGCAGCCCGCCACCGATGGCTTCTTGTACAGTTAAGGTTGATGACATCTGCATCCCTTTATCCTGAGCTTTAACCTGGACCGTGTGTCTCTTCTCCTACCAGAAACTGGAGAGGAGAGGAAGTTGGAGTTTTTGGCGCAGCCTGTTTCTGTGACCAAGCTGATCGGTGCCAGTGTGTTGCTGCCATGTGTGGTGACTGGTTTCCCTTCGCCTCGCATTCGCTGGTCGTTGGGGGACAAGCCGCTGGAGGAAAGGTATGAGCACAATCTCTGGCAATATGTTGGTTTTACAGATACTGAGCTGTTGTGATCACTAAAATCTGGTGCTGTAGTAGCCGCAATTTAAACTAAATAGTTTTTTTTTTCCACTAGAAAGGCAGAAATTTAGAAATTTTATTTGTCCGTAAGATCTTTTTGCGTGTCTCTGTGAATTATATTCAATATTTCCGTAGACCACCATGAACCGAGAACCAGTTGCTGTTTAATATTTTTGTTTTTCTTTCCTCAAACTCTAACTACAAAAACAGGGTTACAGCTCAGCTAGTAAAAGACACAGATGTTGTTTACTTCATGGGTAATTTATGGTCAATAACCTAACAAATGATTTTTGAGCTGATATAGCTGCACTTTATTAAAATTTGCTTGGTTTTAAAATAATAACTCAGTCAGCTTTCAGAATCAAGTTTATTGTTTTAGCAATTCAGAAAATCTGGAGTTCTGATGTTAATAAGATGGCTTCTAGTAATCGTTAGATTTAATTTCAATGAAAAAAATAAATGATTGAAGATTAGTTCACATGCTTCCAGTTGGCTGTAGAGAAATGGCAAAAGACATTTGTGGAGTGCTAACCACTGACCAAAACAGACATAACTCATCATTTCTCAACTAGGGTTGTCACGGTGTGAAAATGTAACCTCACGGTTATTGTGACCAAAATTATCACGGTTTTCGGTATTATCGCGGTATTTTTTTAAACGTGCTACATTTTCAGACAACTAAATAAACCCTGTATCAGGAAAATATTGTCCTCAGTTTGTGTTCCAGTGAGCTTTGCAGATTTGGGAAAATGTCATCAGGCAGTAATCATTGTTAAATTCATAATTATTCTCGCAGAGAGACCAACTCTTATCTGCCCCTGGGAGCCCCATAATGCATAGCGTCATTTCAACATGGGGGTGTCCGCGACACGGTTTATATGCAGGTAGCGGCGCTGCGGCTGCTTTATATGGCAACTCGTTGCATTCTCCCTCAACCCAAATCCTCGGATCACGCATTTTAGCTAAAACGCTAACGCTAACTTGCCTTGCATTGACTGTAGAGTTCTGGGTGATGGTCACGCAGATGTGTCATGAGATTTGAAGCGTTGCTGCCTTTCACAGACACTTTTTCTGCACGTGCTGCAAACAGGATAGCCGTCTTCTATCAGCTGTCCCTCTGCATTCTTCAGATATCCAAAAGATGCCCGTACTTCCCACTTTGTCTTCTTTGAGGGATAATAAATGTCTTGAGCACTGCCGTCTCCTCCTTTGGCCATTATTTCAGCTTTAGCTTCAGGAAAGTTTTGGTTGTAAACAACAAAGTGCGCATGTGCCGCCGGCAACTTCAGCAGATGATACGGTGGCTGGTAAGGGTCACCGCGCCTACACCGCAGCCACGGTAAACCCACCAAGATAATAGTTTTTTTTAAAAACAAGACTGTTATTATTATTGTCAACTTTTTTTTTACCGGGGTTTACCGCTACACCGGTTACCGTGACAACCCTATTCTCAACAGAAGATGATTTTAGATTCAAACTCAGGAGATTCTACACCTTTAATTTTATGTGTTTAACTTTAATTTTTGAGTAAGCTATTCAGGGACGAAATTTTGATTTCAGAAGTGGGGGGGACACAGCAGGCTTGTGCGGATTTGGGGTGGGGGGTGTTATGTAAAGACCCCTTGACACATCACGTGCCCATCTCAATAATTTTTCCATCCTCAATATATATATATATATATATATATATATATATATATATATATATATATATATATATATATATATCAAAGTTAAAAAATGTACAACTCTATTATTATTTTTATTTATTATCATTATTGAAGTGCAGTTTTGGCTGTTGACAATGGATAGGCCATTGTATTTATTGTTTTGGGTCTTTTTTTATTGTTTTTGGTGCAACATTTTCTAACAGGGAGTGAGATTCCTTTTTTATTGAATTTTTGTTTGTTATTTTTATTCATTTAGAAGTTCTGGTTCTGGACATTTCAATGTTAAATGAAGGTTTATTTGTTGCATTTTAAAGGGTGTACTTGCATTATTATGATATATTAACATTATATTAGTGGTTATTTTGGTCTAGATAATGTTGACAATGATATCGTTTATCATCAACAATTTGTTGGACAAAATATCGTCCAGCAAAATGTGTTACTTTCCCAGGCCTAGTCAAAAGTATAAAAATTATTTATACATAAACGGTCCCTCCTGAGATCTGGCCGTTTGTTCATTTGCTGTGTTAGAGGACATGCTGAACTAATGTTTTACACATGATCATCACCCTAACATTTGAGTGTATGAAAACATATTAAATGTTTTTTCCCTTAAAAGTGTTTAAACAGTTGTTGCATTTCAACACACAAAAAATAAATGGAAAAAATAAGATAAATCTAATGAAAAGTGTACATCTTTGACATTAAGCTTAAAAAAATCTGTTGACGATGATGATACTGTTCATTTTTCAGAGCTTTTTAATGTGAACATATACATTGCAATAGATACGTTTACAATAAAGTTAAATGATAAAAGTTTTGAAGTTACACTTCTACTACTACTAGTAATAATAATAAAAAAATAATTATAATAATACGAATAAATTGTGTCTGAGGAGTCAGTTATGTGGAGGAGATGAGTTTGTAAAAGTTAGTTTTGAGTATGTTTGTGAAGGAGGAGGTGAGTCTGAGCTTAATGCAGGGGTGTCACATGTTCCAACTTACGTTTTGACTTTGAAAGAAGTCTCTTATCACTTTTCGTTTTCTTGACATGCTGCCTCCTGGCTGTGCCTAACTACCAAAAACTCACAAATGAACACTTATTCAAATGTTATGTAATGGAAGCTGAGCTGAGCTGATATTACACAGCGTCTAGTTGACGATGTGACTCAGTACCGGTGTTCCCTAGCGGCTCCAAACTAGCAAAACAACGTGAGCACGTTCTGACTGTTTACAACTTGAGTGACAGCAGCAACAGCCAATAATACGTTAGCAAGTATCAGCAGAGCCAATAGATTAGCTTTTGGGCGGGTCTAATAGGAAACCGGTTTCCGTTTCGGTCCTAGTGCTCAACCAAATCCATTTAATGGAGCGTAATATTGTTTTTGGACGGAAAAAAGTGCAGGGGACCAAAACTTCCTTTTGAAAAAGTGGGGGGGACATGTCCCACCCGTCCCCCCCAAAAATTACGTCCCAGAAGCTATTACTTATCCAGTTAGACCAATAAGAGCTAACACTTAAAGGCCAAGTTACTTACTTGTTCTTTTTGAAATATGACTACTTGCAGGCTAAATGTGAAAATAGTCTTTACCTCTATGTCCTGCATTAGCTGCTGATAGAAAATAGACAAGCGAACGCTCTGATTAGAAAAGCCTGTCAGATCTGCAGCACACTGAAAATTAGCATTCATGGACTCACCCATCCTGGCTAGTGATGGGGATGTTGATTTAGCGTTCAGGAGAGAGCAGAGCACGTCTTGGTTAGTAGAAGCTAACCATTAGCATTAGCAACTCCACCACATGGCAGAACTCCTTCAGGCTTGTGTTATTTGTGGAGATTAAACATCAACATTGCAAAGCAAACAGAGTCAGTGGTAGAGTCGTGTTGCTGTTAGCCAATCAGAGGCAAGATGTCCAAATATCAGGAAGTAATACTACAAATCCTGCTGTCTGCTGCTCACCTCTGCTCTAGCTAAATTCTAGTTTCTGGAACAGTAGTGCCAGAACTTTCCTCCCACAGGGACCACCTCACAAGGCATTCATTTATACTAGAGATCACCGTTTTGAAAATTTGAGAATGTGAACTTGTTCTTTAAGCTTCCTCTAACATTTGAAAACAACAGACTTTATAACATGCTGCTGGCCTCTGAGAGCTAAACAGTTTGTCCTGATATCTGCTCCCCAAGCTGTTAACGCTTTTCTGCTACTGCCACCTCGACGGCTCCAGAGGGAGACCTGGATTTGCAAACCCAGCCACTGCATCTGGGAAATCAGGCTGCTGGGTCGCCAGCTGAGGGCAAGTTCACAAATAAAGAGCTGCGATAGAGAGCCACAACGCCTGTGCTCTCACTCCTCTGGCTCTCATTAGCTGAGTTAGAGCAGCTCAGAGTCCCCCAAGGGAATTGCACTGAATGTGGTAGATTTGATTCACACCAATTGAAAAAAGCTCTTTGTTTACCTAACCTGTGTGAGTCCATCCTGCAGCACAAGAACTCTTGTGGGGTCAATGTGTTTTAAAAAATATTTTCAAAGAGGGGATGGGGCTCATTTGTCTGCAGGGTATCCGCGGGTCCTTAAAAAGTCTTCAAAGTCTTAAATTAGCTTTTCCAAATTTAAGGCCTTAAAAATCCTTAAAAATTACAAATAATACTTAAATACAGTTTCCAAAGGTCTTAAATTTTCAAAGACCCAATAAACAAGATTATTTTATTTTTATAAATATTTCGTGAATTTCTAGTTAGTGTTCAGCATTTTTTTGTACGATGTTGGCATAAGCAGAACCGTACACATTCAGTTGGTTGTGAAAGGGGGCTATTTTTAGATGAGCACATTAGCTGGTTAAGCTAGTGGGAGCTTACGCCATGGGGAAGTGCAAGTTTAATGGTAATTGGATGGTTAATCCCATGTTCGCAACGTGTTTAGCACCGGTTCCAAGAAATAGCTGTAAATTAAAGCTTAAATTTAATTTTAAGAATAGCTTAAATTTGGTCTAAGTGGCCTTAAAAAAGGTCTTAAAAAGTCTTAAATTTGGCTCCCTTAAACCTGCAGATACCCTGTGTCTGAATCCTTCTGGATGGGATTTAAGTGAAACTAAGTTTGTCCCGTTGTTAACCACGAGTCTCCAGTGTAGCGTGAGCGGGAATGTCATTAGTCCGTCGAGCCGATAGTTCACAGCACAGCCCCGCGTCTCCAGTTATCGCCTCTAACGGCTGTGGAGTTGTCTGCCAGCGCTCTGACCTCCAGAGGGAGCTGGCTAAAATGGTACTTAT